TGTGGAATATATAGAATATTATAACAGAAAAAGAATATGTAGAATATTATGTTAGAAAAATAAAATATTACTTTTCCTTGTTCTATTAGTAAACTTACCTGGACCTGGAATACAGTATGGTCAGTGCCACAGGCCACGTGAGAGACTGTGTATCGTTCCATAAACTCATTCAATGTTGGATAACTTATCTTAGTTGTCACACGACCAAACCCACACTGAGCCCGCCTACACACATAATTAAAACACAACACTATAAAATCAGGTACTATTATTATACAGTACCTGTTGTCTCCCCATAGAAAGACCCCACCGGACACAGTGAGAGCTGCACTGTGATTAGATCCACAGATTAGCTTAACAACTGGTGTTGATATGAGGTGGGTTATCTGAGTAGGAGCAAGGACGCGGGACAGACCCTCGGAATGTCCCAACTGAGAGGTTGTATTCTTACCCCAAGAAAAAACACGACCATCTAATGAAAGAAAACCAGCATTATTAAAATACATGTATGCATAAAGAATTACTCCTATAAAATGGTGGTATTAGTACCTTGTGTTAGTGCTAAGGTATGGTGGTCACCGCAAGCAGCTTGGACGACAGGACGACCAAATGGCAAACTTAATATACTAGAAAAAAACCAAAAATTATCATAAAACATCACAATGTAGAGCATATGCACTAATAAGCTCATGAAACAGAACAACAAAAACCTTATTGTGCACTAGCAGAATGCAGTGATAATCTGCCATTACTTTAAGTTTTCAGTCACAAAACAAGTATGTATGGTGTTAGTTTCATACTTTGGTTTGCATATTGGTTGCAGTGTTTTCAGTCCAAGCTGTCCCTCGCTGTTGTCTCCCCATGTATACAAGGACCCATCTGAAGAGAGTGCTAAACTGTGCTTCACTCCACAGCTAATGCTGATTATGATAGTATCATCAAAAGTATCAATGTGAGCTGTAAAAAAAAGAAGCCATTACAGCATAGCAATCATAATTATTTCATGAATAATAAATTAGTGGATTATTTGCAAAAATTAAATTCCTTATTTTATATGCCATACCTTTTTAAATGAACAACATGTAATTATTATTATTGCAAAATTACGTGTAATAGTAAATGAACCATTTTGTAAAACTTTTAGGAGTACTGTAGTATCATAGTATCAGTGAATTATTTATTCTTGGCAGCTAGTGTGAGTACATAATGACCTATACACATTGAGAACTATCCTGTACCTCACTGCATTATATTGTCATTCATTCAATAAAACAAAAGGCAACTACCACAGAAGCAGCTGAACATTGCAGCTGCAGAATACCTGCCATTAGTGCTAAGAGTCAGTAGAGTGCTCCACTCATTATCACCACTGAACTAACACTGACAAAAATGTTCGTTATAAATATTTCTTTTCAGTGGTGGTAATAAAATCGATCATTTTGCAAGTGAAAAATGCAACACAAATACTTTGCGTTAATTGGACATCATTAATTATTGGATATTATTATAAATAATTATACGCACTGGTATCATACAGTACCTGGTATCATTATGCATGACGTTTTTTGCTCAATCCCTAACTGTCCATACTGGTTACTCCCACAGGAATAAAGGCAGCCTGACTCCAACAATATGAGTGTGTGTGAAACACTGGACGCTAGGATTGAATGAAAAATATCCTTAAATAAATATAAATAATGGTACGTTTGGAGAAAAATACATAAAATAAACTTCCTCCATCCATTCCTATCACTCATTATTTATAAGCACATGTTCACAGTTAGTATATATTAACTTTCAAGAGCTAGCTGCATGAGGCACTCTCAAGTAAAAGGTTTAAGTGCATCATGGCCTGAGGTAAGTCTTACCAATGCACTTGATCTTTTTGTCACCAAAGGCTGTGTTTGGTCTAGCCTCCATTACACATTTTTCCTTCACGTCCAAGCCCAGTGCTCCATCGTGAGCTTCGCCCCAACAAAACATGACAGAAAGCCTATTTCTCTCGTAGTAGAACCTGTAACAAAGTACGAATAAGCCTAGCGCAGTGAGGAGATTAGCTGACTGAGCTGAGTCTACTACGCGAGAAGCTTCTTTATGGGCGTGGGTATCGGATTAAACCACGCCTACTAGACTAATGTTTTTAATGTTTTTTAAAGGAGAACTTTGATATTATGATAAAAGCACACTATGTGAAGTTAATCTGTAAATCATAAAAGGGCAGAGCTTGTGAATATTAGTCTATCAATCCATTGCAGATAGAAACTTCAGTATTCTCTGGACTGAGTCTAAACCAGACCTTGTGGAACCAGAGCTCTACAGAAAAATACATAGACAAAGTGAAATAATACTTTGTGGCATGGAAGCTATTAATTGGAAATAATATACATATTCCTTACAGCCATGTTCATAAATAATAAGAATTCTTTAAGAACTTTAATAAGTGACGAAAAGTTACCACCAGGCAACTTGTTCTTTACATTGAGAGCGAATTCCTAGCAGGAGCAGACACATTATGCTCAAGGATCACATTAATTGTACATACTGAGTCATTCTGTATCAATAGTGCTACCAGTACAGCTGAATATGATGATATAATGGAGTCCTCCATGTGCTTCCCTGCCTGTGATAAAGCTAAGAGAAAAAAAAAATAATAATTTGTACAATAATTTATAATTGTAATGTGTTAATCAGACTTAATTACCAGAATCAAAATCTTCTCGTTTGAATATCAGTGGATCAAAGCTGATGTTCCCTTCCTCCTCCTCTTCCTCTTCCTCCTCCTCCTCTTCTTCCTCATCCTGTTCTTCTAGGAAGATGAATGAATACATTATGTTCATGAATACACTCAATGATAGATTGATGATTCTTACTGTCTTCAGCTTTATCCTCTTCCATCTTCTCTTCCTTTCTTTCCTTCATTTTCTTGGGTACACTAGATACAAAAAATTAAGAACATACAATGTGCAAGTACAGTATATTTGCTATAGCTGTGTCAATACACTCACGGTTGGATGCCTGACTTCATCCTTGATGTAAAAGTCGAAGTCAAGTCTTTTCTAACCTATAGAATACAAATTACACCAAAATACTAACAAATGAACCAGTTTGTAGCCCACATGCATATGCACATGTATCTAACTACATACAAATCATCATACAAATCATTAAGATTGGATTGTCATAGTGTAGTTAGTACTAATTACTTTGGGCGACTTGGCAGGAGATTCATGTGATATGACTTGTTTTGTAGGTGTAGGGACTTCAACACTAGCAGACTCTCCTCTCTCATAATGAGTCAAAAACAACTAATCATGATGATGATAATAGTAACTTTATTTTTTGAAGAAGAATTAGTAGCAAACCTTCACTAGAGCTTGAGTAGCCAGCATATCCCCGTAAGGGTTACTGCTAGTAGAAGCAACATCAATGAAGACGGAGCACATGTGCTGGACATTAGTGGAGCTCTCCTCCAGTAGGTTAATCAATAGAGACAAGCACTACAAAATAAATCACAGAAAAGACAATAAGAATACTCTCTGTACATACATGTAGAATATATTGATTGCAATCAGCATGTGTATAGCGTTATTTTTAACTTTTTAAAGTAAACTCACGAGGACTAAGATATCAAATTGTTGAATAACTGGTACACTCTGAGCCAACTAATGATACAAGAGAATACATGGACACCATGTGCCATACATGTGAAGCACATGTGTTCCTTACTTTGAATGTAAAGTTGCATATCGAGTCAATTATTTTCTCTTGCTCTCCGACTCGGTATGAAGCAAGAGCATTATCGTGAGTAATATTTAAAAACACTCTCAGAGTCCCCAATAGAGTCTCAGTCACTATAAACCTACTCACAAATGACAATATGGTAAAGAACTTATAAAGAATCACTAATTACGTATGTCTTGTGCTGAGATCCTTTGAGATAAGATAATCACCTAATAACACTAAAAATCTAACAAATATAAGACTCCATAACACATTCATCCTGTACAATGTAGTACATACTTGGATATTTCTGATATAAATATTGAGCCATCAAACATAGTCAGGTAACTCTGGTTTCCTTTACTCATACACAAAATCTAATCATTAACACATACAGTAATAGCACATAAACTGTACATATGATTCACTACTTACATTTTCCAATAGTTTAAGTTGCCTGAACAACTTCATAAAATGAACATCAACTTCTCTCTCTTCTCCTTCTTTTCCCTCCTCTTCTTGGTCACTGGTCAGGTACCCAGTGCACTGTCTAGTTAATGCTATTGCTATAAAAGAAGTAAAGAGGAGGCTCATAATTCATATTTATATCAGCTTAAACATCACATGAAGATAATGCTATTAAACAATGTCATTTTACCTCTGTTAGCAATAACGTCAATAGCCCCAAGAGTCCTCAGATCTTCCTTCAATGATGAAACACTAGTATTCATTGATGAGGTTAGACTCAGGAAACACTCAGTGGCCAGCTCTCCTAACTGTATATGAAACACTAACGTTAATATGGTACAGAATAGATAATACTTGGCTTACACTTAATGTTGAAGGCTGCAGTGAGATGTCAACTGTCTCATTAGTATACTAGATCA